TGTGTGTGTGTGTGTGTGTGTGTGTGTGTGTGTGTGTGTGTGTGTGTGCGTGTGTGTTTTTGTTTGAGTTGGGTGGTGTCTCTGGCTCACTCACCAAATGGAAAGGCTGCACAGAAAAACCTCTATGTACACTACCAAGTCAAACAAATATGTATTGCTATAATTCATTTTAATCATTCGTGTGTGAATGCATATAAAACGTTCAACAATAACACAATTACTCTGGGCATTTTTCTTGGATTAATTATGATTTATGCATACTGGCCATTGATTCTCCGATAGCAATCGTCTAACTGCAAAGTACACTCTTAGAAAAAAAGGGTACAAAACTGTCACGGTCGCGGTGCCCTTTCATAAGGTTCTATTATGTGCTTTTAAAGTACTAATATGTACCTTCAAGGTATCAATATGTACCATTTATGGGTAAATAAGGTACCATTTAGGGCTTTTGTAACTTAGTTTACCACCCCAGTGATAACTTCGTACCTTTTTTTCTAAAAGTGTTGACATGAAATGAAATGACATAAACATACATGCATTTCTGACTGGACACACACAGTCATAGAATGTTTATTCTCCCCAAAGTAAATTTAGGTCAGTTCGGGCCAGATTCCTTTGGTCATTACATAAAAATACATCTGGTCTCAGAGGAACTTCTTTGGTCATCCAAATAGAAATAAAGAACACACAGAAAAATATGGGTTAATGCCTGGGTTTGAAACCATGTGTGTTTTTCCCTGAGCTTAAAATGGTCGATCATGAGGTAGGGGGATAAGAGAGTTGTTGAATGTGGGAAAAAAGGAGCCAATGTTAGAAAATAGCGAGGGCGGAGGGGGCCGAAATGATTAAGAGGGGTATTGGTAAGGCTGCCATGTCCAGCGCTGAGATCACTAAGTGGGTGGTAGGTTCAGAGCTTCCCCTTGGCCAAATCATGAGAAACACTCATATCTTCCAAGCAGTTTGACTGGGGTAGGATGTCAACCGCTGAAGCCTGTCTGAGAGCCAGAGACCGAGAGCTGCACAGATGGTAGTGCTGACAAATTAGTTCAGTTCAGATCCAGACCAGTTTCATTTCTGTACCTGGCAGCGGGTCTCTTAACCACTTCTTGCCCGACGGGGCTGGAATGACCGTTCTTTCCACTATTTTCGCTGAATGCTCTGTTTCCAAGCAAGGTCCCAAATCTGGGTTTGTAGTTTTACATGCGATGCGGTTACACGTTGAATATATGACTGCCCATACAAAACAGCAGAGTTCCCTCCAATCTCTTTATTTATACTGAATAAAAATGTGCTGGCTGCCTGCATTACTGCTGCCCACATGAACCAGAATCCAAGCCAGCTGGCTTCAGGCTCGATCCTAACTCACAGAGAACAGAACCACACAGACAAGGTGTGTCCAGACCAACCTGGCTCTCTTTAGGTTACCATGCTTTGGATAGGAATGAACTTTCTCCTGCCACCATCCTCCCCATTGCGTTAATTTTGATAGCAACTTTTGATTGCTTCTAGATAGAGCTATACGGTATGAGATGAACAATGAGAATGTTTCTTCTTAGGAAATGACAATATAATTGGCCTTTTATGACTTTAAAGTATGCAATTCATACAAAAAACATTGAGTTTTCAAACACATTTCATTAACACGCTCCATGTTTTCCGTTGGTCAGCATACAGATAAAATGACCCAAAAATGATCACATTGGTCGAAGCAATGGAGCTATTTACACATTTCAATTAAACCAGCCTTTTTATGGATTACTTACAGTTGTCTCTGCATATTAATGGAAAACGTGATGGTCATTGGAATATGAGAAAGCATTCTAACATTTTAAGACTCATTTTTTGCCAATGATGTAACGTTTTAGTAATCGTTCCAATTCTATAAGAATATGGCAGTCCACACCACTACCATATAATAATAATGACACAGTGGAACAATACTGTCGGAATCAATTTCAGAATCCACCCAACTGGAAGACCTCAAGCATTTAAAGTGGCAGACGACAAAACAGAAGCGCACGCTCGAAATAAACAGAACGTTATTGTGTGTTAGTGTGAACTCTAATATAGTTATCATTATCGTTAACTTTATACTTATCGTTCTTGGTGTGAACGGGGCTTTAAGTTTTAAAAATCATTCTGATTCTGTGAGAATAGGGAAGTCCACACCAAAAATATAACATTAATAAAACAGAGGAAGGATATGAAAGATAAAAAAAAACATTTGCAGCAGATCAGAATCCATCTGACTTTAAAGAGCTTGAGCTTTTAAATTTAGACAACAAAACTGCAGTGAGCATTTATAATAAACATAACGTTATCATGGATGCTAATATAGTCATTGTTATAGCTATCATTGTTGGTGAATGCGCCTTCACACATGTAAAGTAGTGGTTTTTAACTTGTGTGTCGCAGAGTGGAATAATTCGTCATGTGCATTCATGCCAAACATAAAAAGGTGTTAAATCATAGTCAGTTAGCAAAAGTCATAGTTTGGCATAACTTGTATTTAAATATTCAAGACACAAAGCACCAAAGGTGTGCCACAGATCACAGAAATTATCTCAGTGGCAGCACACCTCACAGGTTGCAAGAAAAAAATATATATATAGCGTAACCTGTGTAGTCTGGTTCACAAACAAATAACTCCTACAATTTGGTCGCTTAAATTAATCATCTCGAACGTAGGAGCTGCCGGTTGAAATTAGTCTGATGAATCCTCCACTGAATTAAATCACAGAATCTGTCAGAGCAGTTACTGAAGCAACATATGACTCACTAACCCAATATTCTGTCGGAAGAGCGTCAGAGTCAAATTGCATAGGCTACTATGTTCATCCGCTGACAAATTAGCATTGGAAGCGAAACAAATGTTTAATGGCTTTAAATGCAGAAAGTAATATTCAAGTTCAGCTCGAAGAGAGCAAAAGCAATTACAGTAAAAAATGGTATCAAGAGACTGGAACATCTTTCTGTAGGGAGATGAAAAAACAGATGTCTTGTCTTGCTCAGAATTCATAAATCTTGTGTGGAGAAATCTGCTGTCTGTTTCTGGGGGAGCAATCTACT